CTTTAGTGCTTATCCACATCTTCGATATAACTACTATGTACTTGGATACCTTCGTTACCTGCCACTGTTAGCACAGTGTAGTGTAGTATATCTTGAGCACAAGTGCAAGCTGACGAGCTAATGAGCTGGACTGACACATACTGATCCTTGGAACAAGCCATTTTTCGCCTGAGCGCGGCAGAGCACGGCCTTGTACGCTGAGGGTCCAGTAAGTTGATCCTAAGCGAAGTAAAATGACGTGCTGGCTGTCAAGTCTTCGCCGAACAGAGGTAGCAACGAGGGTGTTATGCACGCAGTCACCCTCGGCACTTGCGCTGCGCAGGTCGATCCTTGGTATGCGAGCCAACGAGAGGCGTTCTGGAGCGGTTTGGGCTGCGAGGCTAGAAACACGATGGGCAGTAGTAGTGGAGAATACAACCGAGATCAGCTTGAAGGATGCGGCAAGCGAGGTTTATCCCCGACTGGTGCTAGTGTCGTGTTGAGGCCGCTGATTGGCCTCACAGGCCGGGCATCGCGTGGCTCAGGGTCGATGCGACGTTTAGACGGTCCGACTTGACATGTTCGATACTTTGCTCTCTCCACAAAAGGCCCGTCTTGTTACAGCACTTTGCCGCCTGGTGCATTCATACGTGCGTACGTGCGTACGTGCGATGCTTGAGATGCTGATTTCACCAAGTACGAGCCGCGGGCTCAGGCAGCCCAGTCAGCCCTACCTCGACATGATTATGACGTCAGGAACTAGAGAAGAGCATGGGTGAATTGTGGACTAAACCTTGATATTGCTGTTGCTGCTGCTGCTGCGGATGATGATGGAAGCTTGCTCTATTTGTGCAAGTCTACAAGGTCTGTTTCCTTGTGTGGTGAGGTGGTGCTGTTCAGGTACAGAGTCTGAGACTCTAGTCACCTGGCATCGTCCAATGGGAATTCCTGTCTCACTGAGTTATCAAGCACCAGCCATCGACGCCCGATCCAGGAGTCCAGGTCGCCATGCCCAAGTTGTGAAGATCACTCCCTCTTTGAATGCATCCCTGTACAAATCCGTAGCAATGATAATGCTGCTGGCCAAGTCGAAAGATTCTCGACTTCAACCATCATCATTATCACAGCCAGAGTAGACGACGACCAATTTCACCCGCTTGAAGGGTATCACTGGAGGAAATGGCTTGTCCAAATGGTTCCGTAGCATTGCTGTTGCCGTGGACAAACCATTCAGTCTCCGCTGATGGTACAATCTTTTCCAAAGGCATCTCTTTCGCCATTGGTACTCCTCCTCAGCTGTTTTCTTTAACGCCTTCGACAAGTTTGGACAATGCTTTCGTCAACAGCGTAGCAGAGTGTGGATCGGCCACCAACAGCAGTTGCATTGGCCAACTAGGCGGCATCTACGATAGTGCAGCCTCAACTTCGTTTGCCCAGGTCGACTACGCGGCGTGGTCAGGGAGCAGAGAGTCCGTAAACATGGCATCCGGAAACTCGCACATCTTCTTCACCGATGCTGCTGCTTTTGGCCCTAAGAATGCCACTAATAAGTTCCCCGCCCTCCCTATGTATACCAACGGTTCCACGGACAGTGAGTGATTCACGAAGAGATGCCAAACTGGTACAATACTAAGACGCATTAGCAACCGTAGATTCCTTCACAGAGTATGATCCAGGGTTCCGAGCAACTCTGCCTTTGGGAATGGACTCCAGCTTCTTGAACTTCCTTGTCGATTCAGGCCAGGCTTCGTCACGGACGTACGGGTTGTGGGCTGGCTCAGAATCAGAAGACGCGCCACAGCCCGGCTTGCTGGTAATTGGCGGATATGACGAAAGCCGTCTCAAAAGTCCTGCAACCAAATTTCCTATGTTTTCAGATTGCCCTACATGCGCTGTACTCACCGCCATCACTTACGACGTCGGTGGTACCAGTACCACGCTTTTCGAAGACGCCAAGGATACACTTACTGTATATCTCGATCCATTCTCCTCCGATATCAGATTCCCACAAGCAATTTTGGACAAGCTCGCAGCTGCTGAAAAGACGGCTGTTTGGAACGAGACATCACGCCATTTCGAGCTCCCTACTAGTCCTGCCCCTGCAGGTACAATTACCATTACGATATCCGACATGGGCAGTCCCGCTGGTGATGCATCGAAGCCTTCGGTAGCTTCATACAAGACTGTAATCCCAGCATCCGAGCTTTACCACCGACCCCGAGCATACAATCCTGTGGGAGTGTTCGAAGTGAACAATGCAACAGTATTCAACATGGCTATAACGAATCAAACAGAATCTGTGACTGTAGGAGTTCTAGGCTTTCCTTTTTTCACCCAGAACTACCTCATTGTCGATCCCGATGCTGCGAACTACGAACTCGCACCTGCTGTGGTTGCAGCGGCCGACCCCATAGGCGCAGATGCCAAGGTAAAGCAAGTATGTCGCGTACTTCCCGGTACAAAGCCCTCATCACAAACAGCGGCGCTAGCAGGAGCGGTTGTAGGATCCGTGATTGGTACCCTCTTCCTCGTCGCCCTGGCCTGGTACATACGCAGGCGAAGAAAGAACACGAGAACTCTAAGTGAGACAAGTCAGAGACCGGTAATTCACCGTTTAGGTGTACAAGAGTCAGAGGAGAGTAAGTCTCTCGAGTTGCCACGTCAAGGAATACCTCTACCGCCACAGCTGCCAGCTTCTACTGCTTCTTCCACAATAAAAACTGGCGGCATTACATTTCCCTCGCCGCCTTTTAGTCGGATGAAAAGCGTGTGCACCGGAAACCAAGAGGATCCCCGGAGAGGATTAGTTCATGATACCTTCAAGAGAGTAGATGAAGTCAACGATGGCCGGCTTCTAGATGAAAGACCATTGGGACTGAGTGAGACGATTCATTCACGTGGGACCCTACCAAGGCTGGCCGCGGAGCATACTGTCGAATAATGCGAACATCGAGATCGATACTTGTATATGGGAGGCTACTTTCCTTGTCATATTCTTTCTGTCACGTGTTATTATACCCAAAGGCGGAAAATCATCATAGCGTACTTTGCGCCAGTCCACGTCAGCTAGACTCGATTTCTTTTAAAGCTAGTTCTTATTTATATACTGTCACTAATCTCTTCCCATCATCCATTTCCGCTACTAGTAACAATCGTCTCTGACAGGAGACTGATCTTCTGTTAAAGGCTTGTGTACAATGCATTCCTGCACGCTAGGATGAGATGACTTCATCAAATCGACATGGTAAAGGAACAAGTGATACTTCTGCTCCTGGATTATAGTGAAATATCCTACGATTCACTATGAAAGCAGGCAAGACGGAACTCAACCCACGTGACTTCTATCCTAATCCTCTATGGTTCCAACGTATGGAAATCAACTGTAACCAACAATGCCAATTGGCCAGCTGCATCGCCAGCAAGAGTTCTCAGCCGAAAATGAGACTAAATCCTATGGAGGCCTCAGGGAACACGAATTTGTACCCACCGTTTTTGTTCGAAACTGGCACAATCTTCTAGGGGATTTTCTGGTGAGATGGTGCAGAGGTTCGTACGGGACACAGCTCCCTACGACACCATGCAACATCGAGGCCGATAGTTGCTTGAAGTGCCACTTGAACACTGGAAATTCACTAGACAACTCTTCGGCTCTAAATGATGTCTCGTATCCACAACACTCTTGCAATCATACGAGATGCCTGTATTCTACTACATTAGGAGATTTCTTCTGTCACTCAACCACATAGAATTTAATATAAGTTGTATGGAAACGTGGACGAAGATTCCAAGTCAAAACATAATAGTCCATCAAGATGCACACGATATGGCTGGTCCAGGCCTCCACCGTTGTGACGGGAAGCTACGAAACAGCTGGTAATTTGAACGAGATCTATCTTCACTCTTGGTGTACAGATGCGAAGAGCGAAACACTGCCCCAGAATTTGCAAATCTTTCTGGGGATCGTTCTGGAACTTTGTTTTGGTCTAACTGCTATAACTAGACATTCCCAGAGGCTACGTGTCGCAGTTCCAAACGACACCGGACTGTGCGAAATCCACGCTAGCGTTAGCAGAACGCACAATAGATTTTAGCTCTAGTATCTTACAGTGTGCTATATGTAAGATCTCATTTACCCGCGTTTGTTCTCGTTTGCTAATACTAACAAGCCCTCTGAGCACATACATTTTTAATGCAACTTTCGCACTAGGTCAGATACAGCACCAGACTAGTTGGCTGAAGACGTTAGTCCAGAATCAACCCCCCTCTCAGCTCATGGCTCAAGCCAAATACTTTTGTATATTAGATGTAGAAGTGAAACAAAACTAAAAACAAATCGTGCTGCGAATGTCACCATCTAAGTCACCACAAGATTAAGTAGCTTAACGGAGAAATCCCCTTCTTTTTATTACTGGCGCTAATTGTTGACGATAAGAAAAAGACGAGATTTTAAAACGCTGACGTGAAAGTCTAATTTATCTTATTTTGCTTCTTTGGTTCTTCTTGACCCAATTATATGTCATATCTACTCTAGTTTAATAGAATTAATACTATTTACCATGCAACAAAAGCTACAGATTAACGTATATCTTTGGTATCTTGGTGGATTCCAAGCAAATGATAGTAACACTTCTTTGAGTTCATTCAAGAGCATTTCCTTGTGTAACATCAGCTTTATAGTGATTGAGCTAAGCAACCTGAGCTACTAAGATTGCATAGCATTATATCATTCACTAATGTACTTCGGAAGATAATTGCAAATATATTATTCGCCTGCGAAGCCACTCTTACCTATTATTTAGACAAGTTTACGATACTAAAATGCGTTTGTAAGATTGTCCATATAAAAGAAATCATAGCTTGTTCTGAGAGCATACAGTCAGTAGATAGAGAAAAAGCTCACATCACCTAACTATGTTGTGATGCTTTTGTACAGAATTCCCACTTGGCAGGATAAGACTAGAGTTGTTTTTGAGTATGTACATCCACTCTCGTCCGTCTAAATATCATCTAATAAATACAACAGGCAAGTATACATACCCAGTGGTTACAACAACCATCTCGATACTGAATACGGAAACCCAACATGAGACACGGCCACGTTTTCTAAACAAAACAATACTGCAATGAATCGTATTAGTTATTTCCAAATCGCACCTCCCCACCGAGTCTTTTCACTTCATCCAAGGCACTGTCCCTCTGCGCCTCCAAGTCCTTGATGTAATCAATTGCCACTGCCAGTACTGCGCTCTTGCTTATCCTCGCGCCGCCCATCACATTGTCCGAATCGGCTCGAAGCAAGGATGGAACAGCTCGACGTAGCCGCTCCAACTCCGTGTTAAGCTTCTCCCTATACTTGCGTTCGACTTCGGTATGTGGTATGCATTGCGGCCGCTTGACTTTCTTTGCAACGATGCTTGCTGAGACCTTGGAGGCTGTAGGTGGAAGGCGGGGGCGGCCCCGCTTGCGTCTTGTAGGCTCGGATCTGACGTGTATAAAGGTTCGAGGACAGGCTGAAGGTGAGGGAAGACGTGATTGCCTTGCTATCTGGGGCGAGATGGCTGGAGATGAGGGACTGCTGCTGCAGGTGTGTATCGAGTCGGCGATGTGATGAGTTTCGGTTGTCTCAGCATCGTGAGCATATCTTCCGTATGCTAGATCCCCAGAGTTGAAGTTTGGCCATGTTTTCAGATGGCTATCGCTCACTGCGAATGCGGAGTTGGTTATTGAACTTATACCAGGAAATGTGCTAGGTGATGGACTGTCCCAGGGACCGACTACATCCAGCGATTTCATCACCGGATAGGAGTGTGGGTTGTTATCGAAGAAGGTGCCCCTGAAGTAATCAGAGGCATATGCGTAAGAGTCTGCAAAGTACAAGTCTGGTGCTCTGGGTGAAAGGTAAGACTCGCTGTCAGGAGAGTAACGTGAATAGGCGTTGCGAGGGCCTCCGTGCAAGCTCGACAAGTCCATCGCGTGATTCGTTTTCGAGATAGAAGGCTTTGATGCTTTGTTATTTCTTGTTGCACCATACACACCGGGGTAATTTAGATGAAATGACCTATACCAACAGATATACTAAAGCCTCGCTGTCTCTTCAGCTTCGTCCTTGGCAAATGCGGTCAGCCCTACATTCAACCAGAATCGGATCCGCCAACGCTCACCTGTGGAGCAACTAATGGCCGATGCATGATATATTGCAAGAAATGAAACATAGGGTTACTGCGACCGTTGCATCGCCCATGTTCTAGACCGCTCGGAGCGAAGCGAAACGGGCGGAGAAGCTTTCACGTGCAAAATCTCCAGTCGCTCAGCCGCAGAGGATGCGGCCTGATAAGATTACCCGTGTGCTCCTCTGCCACGACGATATTCGCCACTGAGCGGTCAAAGGGTTTGGCATCACTAACGCAGAATGACTTCAGATTGTCTTTAGTGATATTCATTTGAGACACAGTAGTTTTTACTTGCACCTGATGACCTTCTGGATTTTATAGTGGAGCTGATGCAATGCTGCGCAATTGTGCACTGCTGGCCGTTCGATGTGCGGGGAGATTTTGAGCGTTTGGCCATGCATATTTCGCCCAATAACGAGCAGTGAGTGGGTCGTTGGGTTAGGGGGGTCCAATCAAATGAGTATAGTATTCTTTACTTCGCCGAACAGTACAGCTGCTGCACTCGTCACCGCCTCCAGAGGATATGCTAAAAAAGAAATGCCTTCCAACATATAGTTGAGCAGCTCGAACCCTAATGTCGCTTGTGGCTGAGTGCGCTTTGCCTGCACATGAGCTATTATAAGAATACATATCACAAACTGCATTTAAATTGCTCTGCAGATACTTTATGTGTTTCGGTTACATCAGAGGATACATATAGTAGGGTTTACGAAGATTTTCCCAGCATTCTGTTCCAACTTGGACCAGTATTGATAACATGTACCTGGCATTCACACTTTGCAATTGGAATGTAAAGTAATGCCTCTTCTACTTAACATGAGAAGCGAGTTGACAAAGCGCTCAATTAGGTTTTTTATGAGCGACGATCTTATGAGGAAAGTCTTTCACTACTTCCATATCACATGCGCTTCGCAGAAGAGCCACTCTTGTTTTGCTCCCAAGGTCAATTGTCCAAGCACTTCCTATAGGGGAGACCCTCGAGACGTTAGGTGGGGCCGAACATCTTCGGCATGGATGCAACATACTAAGAAATAAATGTAACAACGTGTCCACCTTTTTCACTAAACTACAATCGCTATGAGCCACAATAAGCGCTGTACCATAATTAGAAGAGTGGCTCCCAGAGCAAAATCAGCCACAAACGTCTGACAGTCAGAAATTTGGCCGACGGTCCTATTAGAATCTCCGGTGCATGTTCTTATGTATTTTTCAGCCGCTTCGGCAATGCCACATGTCTGTGCCTCGACTGCCAAGCTCGTTAGTCTCATCAACACTAGCAACTATAATACATCCTTCGAGAACATAGAGCCGCCAGATACTACATGCCAATTACATTAATCCGCAAACAAAATAAGCACATATTTGGCAAACACTTTGAGCGTTCTAATACTCTCACATGGTTGCTCATGAACGCTAACATCCTTTAGCTAACTATTAATTTTCCAGAAATCCAGCACCAGTCTCGTTAAAATATATGTTTTCTACAAGGAAATAGTACATATTTATCAGGTACCTGTGGATATTAGCCGCTCATAAAGCTTAGTTGACTGCACAAGAGGTAACTTTGAAGCCTTATACTAAGTATCAAGCCACTGACAGGGGCACGATCACACAGGGAACAACTCGATGCCTTTCTAGGAGACGAAGAGGTTCCCAAAGCTCCCTGAGCTTTATACTAAACAATTTAGCATAATTATCAGAGTCTCCGAGACAGCAGGCCCAATCTGTGATGCTATCACAGGGATGATGAGCCCTGTGTGACTAGGTGGGTTGTGATCGCCAATGCTACAAGTAGAATCTGAGGCACTGAGCCCGAGCTTCATTCCACATACGTCTCGAGCACCATGAACATCATTTTACACCGCTTATTCTTTCTCTCCTCACGAAACTTATCACGTCTTGTCTTTATAAGGTACATTGTATTTTGACATCCTCTGTCTAACCTTGCACAATATTAGCTTAGTCCGGCATAGCTATGCACTGTTCCCTAACCAGTCACATATCCCTACGTTGCGCCATGGAGCTACCGTCAACATATTTTGCGTCAAACCTCAAAAGGCTCAGCATATCGCAGCAGTAGTATCGAAGTTTGCTGTTTACCTATGCTTCCATCCATTCTGACTTAAGCTCCTGGTTGTTAGCTGCATCGTTTCCATGACAAAATACATTCATCTTATCTTCTTCACTAGTTCCCCAAGTCCCCTAGTGGTACTCAAAAGGGGGTCTTGTTGACCAAGATGAAAGTCGAAATAAGTGGTCTTGAGAGTGAGCTTTGGTGGTACCCTGTTCTACTGATGCATTGACTAATAGGCTATATTTTGCCGACTACTTTGTTCTCAAATGGCCTTATGAGAAAGCGACTTGTGATTCAATTCTCTGTCTTAGAGTTATGGCATCTCCAACTCTACTACGTTCTTTGCGTCTTCCCCCCCGCCACACAGCACCTAGATTTACAATCGTGACGAATGATCAATGCCATGGCCAGCGCTGCAGTCTGACCACGCGCATTTGGCACACAACTCCGGTCAAACGAAGTCTCCATTGCTTACCATGATATCCCTATCACTGGTCTCCGTAACCGGATAGGTGATTTTACGGTCAATCGGAATGGCTTCAAGGTTGCGGTTGAGGATGAACACCGCGGTATTGAGATATTATTCCGTGTGCTGCGGTACGAGGAGTATGCAGACGAGCCCATCGTGCGGGACACGGCAAGGATGACTGTAGAAGAGTCCTTGAAACGGAATATAGACGGATGCGAGCATGCTGTTGCACTTTCCCATCAGATACGAATAAATTTTCTTCGATTTTGACCCTTTGACTCTGCGATTTACTCTCAGGTTGCGTGTGAGACCGACAGTGTATTTGCTATAGGGACGCAGACGTGACAGGCTGTTTCCAATCCTACCCCGTGGTACCAATGGAGCTGTACCACAGCCCTTACAGGGTGTACATGTTAATCATTTGGATGGCTCGCGATAAACAAATTGTCTACTGATTGTTATGTGGGGCGCTGCTGGTTATGACCCCCGATGGGTCGTACTCCGAGGTCCAAAATGCATTAGCCGCTCGCGGCTACATAGATATGTCGAAACTCAGCTGAGCAGTAATGCAGTGAGTAAATATTTCATACTCATACTTCATTTACCAACCCAGTATCCGCTAATACATTGTGCTGAGAATGGCAGTATCTGGGGGCTTTTGTTTGGTCCACTGCAAGATTGGCCACTGGCCCTGATGGATTATACATCACCCGACAAAGCGCGAGATCTCATTTCATTAGATAACATATATGTGCACCGGATTCGCGAGAGTTACAATGTGCTATGGAACAAGAGGCATAAATGGTACTTACTTAGGATAACGCTGTAGAATCCTGTTAGTGATAGGAGAACATAACCGGATTTAGGGCTCCTTTACTAGTAAAGGTTATGACGGAGAGTTTGAACCCAGTCAATGAAGAACCTCTCTAACAATGAAACAAACCCTAGAGGCAGGTCACATAAAAAATGCTGGCTTTATCTTAAGCCTCGATGGACATCTCAATGAATTGTAAGGTTGTCATGAGTTTGTTTACAGTAGTGCTTATTTCCGACGTCTGAGACAGCACTACTACTAGCTGTCGGTGATAGATCTAAAGCAAGCGGCAATTGCATCAAGCTCTACAGTGAACTGCATATCATGGTAATCTATTCACCGGTATATTTTGTCAGAAAGCAACAACATTGGGCCACGAGAATGTAGGAAAAGGCAAAAGCGCTTAGGGTGTCATCGCAGATAATGAGATTTGCCTGGCGAATCAGGAGTCTGTACAACCCACCGTAATCCTCAGAAGCAACAAAGAAGGCACGCTGATCGGTGAGAATGTGGTGGTAGGATGAATACTGAGCCCTCCGAAATGCAGGAGATATTAGCCACACGCACAGGTAGCCATACCCACGCGTGCATATATTGAATCACATAAACAGTGTATTGTAAGACTTCATAAGCCGTCATAGGTATCTTTTCATTCAGTGTAAGCCAAAGCTTCTTCGATGGCATCATCTCGTTCATCACCAGAAAGGAGTGCCTCTTCTTCTGCAAACAGGCTATCGTCAAGAATGGGCCAGTCAAGCTCTTACAATAGACACGAGAATGTGAAAGCTGGTTTGAAAACACAGTAGAAGTTTGAGTTGATGCGGCAAAGAGTTACTGGAATCGACGTACCGTACGCACCAAAAATGGCAGAACAAGCTGTTAGTCACCGATAGAAAGAGCGCGTCCCCAAACCCACTGTAACAGGGAGCTAGCAATAATGTGTGCGATAGCGTCCGTAGTCTCAACCATAGTGTGAAGTCTACCGGTTTCTTGTATGCTGCTAACGAACCCAGTAAAGACTGCGAGGATCGAAAGACGAACTCCAAATCCGGTTGTATAGACGGCCAAGGCTGCAAGCTGTCAACCAAATGTCAGTATTTCGCAACGATTTTTCCACTCACCTAGCACCACGAACCCCGATGTTAGGAGCTGTAGCAAGAGCTGCAGTACCTATGGCCAATGTCGCAATGCTTGTGCGAGCAACTCGTATGCTTACCCGGTGCGACCGTATACCTCCCTTCACCTAGAGATAATCGGTAACCATGGGAAAGAGAATTAAGAAGACGAGAATATTCATGTCCGATACCACCGTAAGTAGCGTCGCAGTCTGCCAAGGATCAGCGATATATCAAGCGGATTTGATGGTGGAATCCTGCCTCGCCAAGTTCTAGATTGAACCGTGCAGAAGGGTACAGAGAGGCTATCTCTAGTGTGTTTTGCCGGAACTGTGCTGGAGTAGGTAGGTATGATTACCTATAGATATCGAGCATCATATATCCCACTTTTCTTCACTTCTTTAATGTCATTTCACCCAAAAATCGACAAAACAAACAGAAATCAAAAATCAAAAACATACAACAGCGGGGATTTTCCAAAGGTCACCAATATGACTACTGGTCCACCGATTACTAATTCGCAACAGCCTTCCTCACTGAGTAAATGACAACCCTACCAGGATAAATCTAAACAAGACATGAACTATCCAATCCCCTGTACATCAAACATAGTAGTGATACCAACACTACCTATGCACCACGACACCCGCCCCATCACCCATCCCCCTTATCTTACCCTCGACCACACGCTCCGCAAGTCCCAAGTC